AACTGCAGGTAGAACACAGAACACTCGCTTTGGATTTAGGCTTCATATTGCGGAGTCCACTGGGTAAGTACCTAAATGATATATCAAGAGTATTTTAGGATGAAATTTATTCCCCAAGAATTTTATGTATACTTCAGAAGTCTAGAATACCCTCTATTTAGATTTTTTCCCTGAAAAAACCAGAACCAGTGAAGCAGATCATCTTTCTCTGCATTACTAAGAACATTTGTGATGCTTGTGTTTGGCACAGGTTTTGCTTGGTCCATCTTATTTCACTGGATATTTCTTAAAAACTGCACTGAAAGCCGGGCGGTGGTGGCGCACGCCTTTAATCCCAGCACTCGGGAGGCAGAGGCAGGCGGATCTCTGTGAGTTCGAGACCAGCCTGGTCTACAAGAGCTAGTTCCAGGACAGGCTCCAAAACCACAGAGAAACCCTGTCTCGGAAAAAAAAAAAAGCTGCACTGAAGTAAGTCACACAGAGGATAAGAGGAATGAATCTACACGATAAACAATGCAGTATAAAATCAAATGGCTAAGGCAATCACAGATTCAGAAAATGTAGATACTTGTACTTGTGTTTGCTAAGTCATTTAGTCCTTGATTACCCAGTGTTTTCTATTTTGCTAAACCATTGCAAACACTGGAGAATCTTTTGGTTTATGTTTGTATGAAGCTTTCAGCATTGATCCTGACTTCCTGGTGGTGAGTCGTTTCTATGGTGGCTAGTTTTGTGTCAACCTAATGCCCGTCAGGCTGCCCGCACTTGGCAGAGCACTTCTCAGGGTTTGTCTGAGATTGTTTGCAGATGAACTTAACATTCGAACGGTAGACAAAGACTTGTCTTTCTTAGTGTGTAGACTTTATCCAGTTGACTGAAGAGCTGAGTGAGAGGAATTGAGGGAGAGCATTTGTGTTTTCTGGACTTCACAGTTTGCCCTACTAGGGTTTTGAGCTTGTTAGCCTTTGTGATAGAGCATAGCCTGCAAGTTTTCCTTTTTCTCTGTCTTTTGGAGTTAAAGTAATATTGGGTATTGGCTCTTCTATATTTCTAGCCAACAGCTGCCAATCTTGAGCTCTCTGCCTTTATAATGTGTGATCTTGATAGAAAGTCTTTTTGCATGTGTAGACATTTCTAGTACATTTTCTCTGGAAATCCCTCAAGAGACAAGGCCTCAAGAGACCATCTCTTACTTCTGAAATTACATTTTGTCTCTACTAATCTGTATTAACAAATAACAGATGTGATTGAAAAGCTGCCCCAACATCTCAAGATTGTTTCTGTAGATACTATATTTAGGTATCTTCTTATTTTGTGGAGTTTCATCTTCCTCACTTTAACTATGACATTCACTTTGATAGAAAAATAAACTTTTATTGAACTTGTATAGGCCTAATTACATGTAGGTTAGCTGTCTTTCATTTCATCTGCACACAGAGGCCCCAGATAATAATTGTAACATTCCTCTTTTTTATAGTAAAGAATACCAAAAACAGAAAGATAAAAGTACGTTGTGTTTGGTATGCAGGTATGCTTTTTGCAGAATTCAGCATCAGTACTACAATGCAAACCTGGATGCTATTTTGAATTAATAGGTGATGGAAGAGAAGGAGGAGGAGGAGGAGGAGGAGGAGGAGGAGGAGGAGGAGGAGGAGGAGGAGGAGGAGGAGGAAAATAAGTTATGTGTAATGCTCTTGATTTTTTTTTTTATGACCTGAGTGAAACATAAAATGACTGTGGAGATGAGCCGTGATGCTAAGGAGTGTAATTCACAGATCATTGAAGACTTTGGTATTGTAGCGATCAGACTCAGCTTTTTACATGTTTAGAAGTTCTCTGTCCTGCCTATCTGTCCCTCAGCATCTGTTCATTTCCTCTCTCCATCCTTTTTTTTCCAACCCACCTCCAGTTACTCACAGTACAAAAAAATGATAAATGTTGGAGATGATTCATGAGCTAATTACCCGAATCCAGGCCCTGCACATTGTGTGGAGATCCTGAAATATCACCATGTACCCTATAAATGTTTACAATTTTTACACGCTGCATTAGAAATATTTTAAAAATTCTGTCTAAACACATACACTAAAACAATCAATACTTGCCATTTTCAAGTAAATAAAAGCCAAGCTTAAAAGATGTGGGAAGTGAGCAATGTCAGGTAGTGATATGGGAGATCTAGTGAGCAATAGATAGGAATTTTAGAATTTAAAAATAGAATTGAAATTAGGGGTTTGCCAGCAGAATAGATACAGCTGAAGATCAAAAAGATAAACTGGAAAATAATATAAAAAGCACTTGTGAGTGTAATACAGAAACAGTATGAACAATAAAGCATAGGCTACAATAATAATAATAAAATATATCTAATACTAACTCATTGGACAATAAGGTACAATATAAAAGTCAGTGTTAGAAGCAATAAAATAAAGTATGTGTGTTCATATAGCCTTATTTATTTCTTCTGATGTGAACTGCCCCTTGTAGTTCAGGACCTTATAGGACAGGACCTTAGCCACCTTAGACTTCTTTCAGCCCAAGAAAGAAGTCTATTAGTATTCAGTACATCACAAGAGTTATTTTTTTTAAAAAAAAAATCAGCTTAGATTGGGAAAATGAATTGGTATTTTTGATCACATAGATGCACAGGAAGACTGAGCAAATGTATGGAGCTCCCATATATCCCTGTGTCTCCCACCACCATCAGCATCCCTCACGGAATGGTGCGTTCACTCTGCGTGGTAATGCCTGCAAAGATACTGCGTGATTGCCCAAAGCTCATGGTCTAATCTAGTCTTCACCTTTGGAGGTTTACTTCTTTGGTTTAGGCAAATGTAAAATACATTAACCCACCCAAATAATACCTACAGCATAGTTCTCTGCTGTAGGGGTCCTCTGTGCTTTGTCCATTTGCCCTCTTTCCACAGTCTACAGTATCTATTAAATCTTAGAAGGGTGCTCCATACAGTTCAAAACTTTTTATGAATGATCCATTTAATTCAGATATTCCACATTTGCTTTTCTGTTTCATGATTCTCCAGTGAAACTAAATTAATTGTATATGTGTGTGTGTGTGTGTTCATGAGGATTGTGCAGGGGGATGAGTGTTCATATGTATGCACACGCATGGTAAGGCCAGAGCTTGTCTTCAGGTGTCCTCCTCAATCACTTTCCTCCTCCGTTGTTGAAACACGGTCTCTTACTGCATCTCAATCGCATCACTTGGCTGTGCCTCCTGGCCTATGTGATCTCCAGGGACCCTTTGTTCCTTCCCTGATGGCAACCAAGCGCTGGAATTACAGATACATGCCATAACCCCATCTTTTATGTTGGGAATCTGAAGTGGGGACTTCATGCCTATACAGCAACCACTTTACTGACTAACCCATCTCCCAAGGTCCTGAATTGCATTTTTCTCTGGTGGACACAGTCTTAAGGGAATTAGCCCCTTTCTTTTTATGAACACAGGTGTCTTTATAAATGATCCCTGCTCCCTTGGGCCTATAAGCAATGGCCATAAAGCAGAGAAACATGCTCATCTAAAGCAAACACAGTCTTAGTCTAATTTGCAGTAGTTCATTTGTCTCGGACATAAAATTGTTGGACACAAGTGTAAACATAACAGAAATGAACTTCTTGCAGACCCCCACTCACAATAGTTTTCATTAACAACCACGAAAGACTTCCAGTTTCTTATCAAGCACATGAGCTTTCTGTGTGCTCACCAGAGTTGTGTTATTTTTCCATCCCTCTCAAGGTATTTCAGGCATTTCCAAACTGTACCTCTGGTGTTACTTTACGTATAAATTGAAAAGGAAAATACTCCCCGGCAATTTTATCTACTTCCCTTAGACTGTGACTGAAAAAGCATGGGATAAAACCGGACTCTCTGATCATGGCGAACAATGAGGACTGATGAGAAGCCAAGGTCAATGGCAAGGGGTTCTGATCCTACTTCATGTTCCGGCTTGGTGGGAGCCTAGCCAGTTTGGATGTTCACCTTCCTAGACATGGACGGAGGGGGGAGGACCTTGGACTTTCCACAGGGCAGGGAACCATGACTGCTCTTTGGAGTAGAGAGGGAGGGGGAGAAGAGTGGGGTAAGGGGGAGGGAAATGGGAGGCTGGGAGGAGGCAGAAACTTTTTTTCTTATTCTCAATAAAAAAAAATATAAAAAAAAAGAAACTAAATAGCAAACTAGACTGAAAAGTGCCAAGCTAATGTTACATAATTTAACAGCAAACGTATTGGCAACTTACTCTTCACTAATGACATAACAAATAAAAAATAAAATTACATTGAATAAGAAAAAAAAAAGAAAAGGAAAATACTGCACAAGATGCTGAATTCCAAGTTATTTCTTTTAAAACTCCATATGCCTCCCACTGTCAAATGCTGAACACCAGGGAAGGTTCATTTAGAGCTTGAAATTTCAACTATTTTAATTTTGAACATGCAGGCTTCTGTGATTATCTAATAGTGATAAGTTTGTTTATGTTTTCTACAAATGTCAGTTTGTTATTAAAGTTTCGATTTAAGAATGGCTGGGCAAAGTTACTTTATGGGCTTGAGTGTGGGTTCTAGGAACCAAGTAGATATGAAATTCTTAATAAAAATGAGCTTTCATTAAAAAAAATTATGGGAATTGTTGGCCAGACTCATCATATTGAAAAACTATACTCATTGTCAAGGTAAGGTTGTGGTCTTCCATATAGCAGTGGTAGTCTTAAGAACTGTGGAGGATGATCTGCCACTATAAACTGAATATTGTTCATTCATGTTGGAACAATATTTCAAGGATTAATATTCGCCCTCTTATAGGAAAACAGAGCAGTTGGTATGTATTTCTTTTAAAATACATCACTGATCAAATTCTTAATTATGTTATTAAAATTGATACCACTTTTAAGTTAAAATCTCAGCTCATATTCACAAAAGATAATTTCAAGTCTTGCGAGGTAAACTGACTCAGTTCATGGACGTTCTGTTTTTCCTCGCAGACAATGCCTCTGAGGTAGCAATTACTGCTCCAGGAACTGGTCACCACAGAAGCAGCTCTACAGGCCCAACACCTGACTGCTCACCTCCATCCCCCGACACCGCCCTGAAAAACATCGTAAAAGTTATCCGACCACAGGTAAGTGAGTACCTAGAATGAAGTCATCTTCACGGTAAATGTTTCTGAACTGATGCACGTAAACGCTTTACTTCTACGCTGGGGCTGTTGTATAATTTAGAATAGATTTGTATATTAAAAGAAGAAGACTCAAAACAGGCTGTTTGCTTCCCACAAAGTTCATAATAGATGCTGAGATCTCTATTAGCTCTTAGAAAATGAACTTTTATATTAGGAGAAGGATTAAATGAAGCATAGAAAAATAAATGGTCATTGTGCATTTTCCTCAGTATTCTAGTAATGGTGCTGTGGGTCTTTAGCCGCTACTGTGTTCTGAAGCTTCTTCTGGGCAAGATGCGCTGTTTGTGCTTTTTCTCTGAAATGGATACGGTTGCTTTCAGCTGCCTCCCCCTTGAGGCATCTCATGCTGTCATGTTAGATCCTGCACTACTAATCTGCGTAGTGTCCTCCAGTGTTCTCATTCTTGGTAATCCGTCTTTACCTTTTGTTCTTTTTTTTCCATTCTTGTCACTTGTCTGTATGTTTTTTCCTCATCCCCCTTCTCTTTCTGTTGGGTTTCCCAGTAGGCGGTTTGCAGGCAAGCTTTAGAAATATCATTGGGACAAGCTGTTCTGTGATATTTCATTGAAAATAGCACGTATAAAGCTGTTTGCATTATAGTTTTTGCCAACAGATGGACCTAGAACATGGAATTGGTGGTGTTCTCAACCTGGCTCATTCTGAATGAGCTTCATAAAATCCAAAAAAGGGGGACTTAAGATCCAACCAATGCCTTTCAGCATCTCTGAGACATATAGGGCATGAATGAATTATTGACCCAATCTGCAGTGTAATCTTATGTCTAAGACAGTATAAGCAATGATTTGTTTAATAAATAACATTCTTTATTATAACTTACTTTAGATTATTTTATGGAAGTCTTATCCTCATCAGACAATAGTATTTCATCTTCACATATCCAGTATGGTTTATAAAAGGTCTTTGCATAAGATGGATTGTATGTTGGTTATCATTTATTTAATGGCTAATAGCCACATATAAGTGAATTAATGCATACCATACTTATCTCTCTGTGTCTGGGCTACCTTACTCAGGATGATTGTTTTTAATTCCATCCATTTGCCTGCAGATTTCATGAAGTCACTTTTTAAGTAATATTCCATTGTGTAAATACACCACATTTTCCTTATCAGTTTTTCTGTTGAGGGACATCTGGGTTGTTTCCCAGTTTGGGCTATTATAAAATAAAAGAAAAAAAAATACAAACTAATTTGCATTTCTTTACCTGCGCATTTTTTGCCCATGGGAAGAATGTGTGAAGAGGTGAGGTGGCGGGTAAGATTTGCCTTACTCATTGAAAGTAGATGTTGCTCAGGTAGCACAAGCTGGACCCCTTCTGCTGCATTCCCAGCTGAGTCTCTTTATCCTGCCTCTATGTGGAGAGCCATTGCACCCATGGAACCCTGGCTTCCGGGGAGAGATGGAGCGCGTGCAGCATTGCAGGTGTTCTGAGTAGCGTCTTAATTACTTGCAGGCCGCAGACTTTGCAGGGCTCCGTTGGGTTTGTGTTTGTTAACTGGCTAAGTCGCAGCTGTTGGCTTCCCATCCATGTTTGATCTCCTCACCTTTGTTTCTTTGGGCCCTTTCATGTCTTAAAGGCCTCCAGATTGCCAAACATCCTATTTTTAATTAATAAGAGCTGAAATATTTATATGCTGCTGGCTTCTCTTTGTTTCTCTCAAGAATATTAACCTGTAAGGCCGAGTTTTTCTGCTTAGAATAACCCCCAGACTTCTACCTAAAAGCCAGATCAATTATTACCCTTAAAAAATACTAGAGAAATCTCTCTTGAAAAATTAAGTAGGTGTATTGACATGCCAATTTTCCTTCTACTAAATAATTACATATTGCTTGAGTTTGGCTTTTTGTTCCTACACTGACATATAAAATTGTATTTATTTGTAATGTACAATAGCGTACGTAGATGAATACATACTTTGTGAGTTGGAAGCTCTATCTCACTAGTAAATGCATTCCCTCTTGCCATTTTTGTATTGAGAACATTTAGCATCCTCGCTCTTAGCATTGTGTATACAATATGTTACCACCCACATAGTCACCATGCAGTACAGAGATTTCTTGAAGTGACTTCTCCTATTTATCTAACTATAAATATCTGTCTCTGACTAGCATCTTTCAAAGCTGTTTCCCTCCTATCTCCCCCAGCCACTGGTCCCTACTCTTCTGATCTCTACTTCTATGAGATTGCTTATCCTTATATTCCACAGGGAAGTGAAATGATGCAACCGTCGTCATCTCTCTGTGTCTGGATTTAACATCACTAATTGTCAGGGAAATGCAAATTAAAACCGTAATGAGATAGCATCTCATTCCTTTAAAAATGTCTGTGATCAGAAAGGATAGGGATAATAAGCACTGGCAAAGATAGCAGAAAACTGAACCCTTGCACAGTCTGAGTAGAAATGTAAATTAGCATAGCTATTATGGAAAGCTGTGTGGGGGCCCCTAGGAAGCTAAAATTATGACCACCAGATAATAGAACTCGCCATATGGTCCAGCAGCCCTACTATTAGGCACAGATCTAAAGCCACTGTGTCAAAGAGCGATCTGTGTTCCCTGCTCATTGCAGCAATGGTCAAAATAGCTAGCATATAGAATAACCTAAGGATTCAACAGTGGATGGATGGATAGAGAAAATGTGGTTCATTCACACAGCAGAGAAGTATCCAGCCATCCAAAAGTAGAAAATCGTGCTTTTGTGATGGCCCACATGGCCTGGGGGATGTCAAGTGAAGTAAGTTAGATGGTTTTATTTTTAATGTTTCCTGGTAGAGAATCCTACCCCCCCTTCCATTAAAACACGCAGATCTTAAGTGAACAGCTTCACACTTTGTCTGTTGTACTCGTAGGTGTAAATCTCACCCTAAGCAGGAGTTCGGCCTTCACTCTACTTTCCTCCTGACCATAGCCAAGAAATTTCCCTCATTTCTGCCTCACAGATGAGTCCTGCGTCATTTTTATGTCACAGATATAGATGATCTATTATTAGACTTTATATAAATGGAATCCTACAACTCACGTGTTGGCTGGTGTGTATCATCACTTCACTTCTTTCATTCAATATATGCTTTTGAATTTCATGCATATTTCTGCTTTAAAAATGAATTGTATTAATACACTACAGTTTGTTTCTTAGTTCTCTTGGTTACTGGTGCTTGCTTTTGTTTGTTGTTTTGTTATATGTGTGTTTGTGTGTATGTGTGTGTGCACGCATACAAAACACTGAATCCAAGTGGTGTTGCCCATATAAGCATGCGTGCGAGGTCGCCCACTGGGGCTGGGCAACCTTACTGGCTCTTCTGCTACAGAGAAAAGTGACCTCTCCCACAGTAGCCATCCGCTGCCAATTGCTCCTCAGCAAGGGGTGGAGACTATGGAGCCACTCCCAGTCCACACTAGAAATTTTAGCCAATGGGAGCCGTGCAGGACTTGTGCAGGTCATCACGGCTGCTGTGAGTTGTGCTGTTGCCATGACATGTGCATGTCTTCGTATATTTTTGTAGATGTATGTTGAGTGGCATGGTTGGATCTTAAGGTAGATAATTTTATAAATTATCTACTAGACTTCCCTCTAGTCTGAAAGCAGGCATTCCTTTCTAGAGCCTCCAAGAGCAATGCATGACAATTTCATTTTCTCGACACCTAAGCTTGTCAATCGCTTTTAGTTAGCCATCCTTATTGATGTGAAATGATTTATCATTATGGTTTAGTTTAAGTGTTCTGGTGACTAGTGACATTGGATGCCTTCTCTATAGCAAATGCCCATTCTTATGAGAAACTTCTCGTTTTTAATGGAATTTTTCAACTTTTTAATTGTTGGTTTACAGTAATTCTGTTTTCATTCTCTTGAAATTCCTAAGGATTTGGATTCACTGTCAGACAGATGCGTGGAGAATATTTCCCCCCAGTCTCAAATTTGGTTAAGCATTTTCATGTGTATCTCTTGATGACTAGGGTGCTTCAATTAGATGAGATACAATTTGTATCATTTTATTCTTCTTTTATGGTTACTGGTTTTTCTCTTGTCCAGGATATGAATGAACTCTCTCATATTTCATCCTTGAAGAATTTTTTCTCTTGCTTAATTTAAGTTCACATTTATAATGTAATCAAGTTATTTTATATGCTGTGTGATTTAGGGTCAAGATTTGGTTTTGACTACAAAGATAGAGTCTGCTCATCAAGCTAAATTGATACTTTGTAAGTGTTAATTATTTAACTTTCTAAGTGTTGTTGGTACTTAGAAAATCAATTAAATTTTATATTATGTGTTTCATTTAAAGATATAGTCTGTTTTGCTTTATAAACAGTATGTTTCACCGGGTTTTCTTATGTCAGTTTAGAATAATGGTAGCTCACTTTTCATTTTGTGAATGTCTCTTCCTTTTCTTCTTATTGTGACTGTGGTAGAAATTATATGGTGATGTGTTAACCCTAAAAATGCCTGCCTTGTTTTGTACTGTGGAAGAAAGAATTCCTTATCTCCACATGCACTATAACATACGGTTTATGGGGCTTTACCCCCGGCTTACTGAGAATTTTTAATGTAAGGGAATTTTGACATTTCCCCAAGTGTTTTTGTCTGTATGTGATAAGCATATAATTCCACCACCCCACCTTTCTTCAATGATACAGCAAAATACAGCCTTCAGGAAGTCTTTGTTTTCAGGCGCTAGGATTCGAACTCAGGGTCTTGGGCACACTGATCAAGATTTCTTTCACGGAAGTGTATCTCCATCACCTGTATCTTAACTCCTTTAAAAACACATTAACATAACTTTGCACTTATGGAGTCATGATTGTGATCTGGTGTTTTATTGCTGTAATGCCAAATGCAGGTATGAATGGACAAAGCATCCATAGTAGACAGATGTATTCGATGTAATTTGGAGAGATTGACTGGTGTTTGTAAATCATTT